CCTCCACCTCCCTGGTTCAAGCGATTCTCCTGCCTCAGCCTCCCAAGTAGCTGGGACTAAAGGTGTGTGCCACCACATCCAGCTAATTTTTGTATTCTTAGTAGAGACGGGGTTTCACCATACTGGCCCGGATGGTCTTGCCCCCTCGATCTCTGGAGCTTGTAATCTGTTTTTCTCGGCCTTTCAAAGTGCTGGGATTATAGGCGTGAGCCGCTGCACCTAGCCCCAGACTGGTTTTAAACTCCTGGCCTCAAGCAGTCCTCTTGCCTCAGCCTCCCAAAGTGTTGGAATTACAAGCATGAGCAACCACACTCAGCCCAGCTTGCCAATTTCTGTTATCAAAGGCAGCTGGGATTTTGATAGAGATTACATTAAATCTGTAGATCAGTTTAGGGGATGCTATCATCTTAACAATATTAAGTCTTTAGGTCCATGCACATGAGTTTTTTTTTTTTTTTTTTATGTAGATCTTTAATTTCTTTCAATAATATTTTATAATTTTCAAAATGTAAGTTTTGCACTTCATGGTAAATTTATACCCAAGTATTATTCTTTTCAGTGCTATTAAAAAGGAATTTTTAAATTTTGTTTTTGGTTTTTGGGTTGTCTATTACTAGTGTATAGAACTTTCGTTTTTGTATATTGATCTTATGTCTTGCCGCTTTGCTGAACTTATTAACACTGTTAGCTTTTTTAATAGGAATCCAAAGTCTTCATTTGTTATAGGTCTATTCAAGTATTCTATTTCTGTTTAACGCTGGTTTTAGAAATTGTGTTTTTCTAGGAATTTGTTCATTTAATCTAACTTGTTGGCATACAAATGCTCATAGCATTTTCTTATAATATTTCTTATTCCTGTAAAATATGTAGTGATGTCCCTTCTTTAATTCTTGATTGTAGTTATTTGAGTCTCCTTTTCTTACTCAGTCTAGCTAGAGGTGGTTAATTTTGTTGATCATCTTAAAGAGTCAACTTTTGGGTTCATTGATTTTTTTTGTCTTTTGTTTTCTCTTCTGTTTTATTTATTTCTACTGTAGTCTTTATTGTTTTCTTCCTTCTGCTTGCTTTGTATTTAGTTGCTCTTTTTTTTCCTTTGGAGACAGGGTCTCACAGTGTCACCCAGACTGGAGTACAGTAGCACAGTCGTGGCTCACTGCAGCCTGCAACTCCGAGGCTCAAGCAATCCTCCCAATATAGCCTCCCAGAGTAGCTGGGATAACAGGTGTGCACCATCATACCCAGCTGGTTTTTTTCTTTTTGTAGAGATGAGGTCTGACTGTGTTGCCCAGGCTGGTCTTGAACTCCTGGGCTCAAGCAATCCTTCCACCTTGGCTTCCCCAAATGCTAGGATTACAGTTATGAACCACTGTGCCAGTTTTGTAAGGCGGAAGGCTTGGTTATTGGTATGAAATCTAAAAAATAATTTTTTTTCCTTTTTTTCTCAAAGGAGGTGAATGAAATCTTTTTTAATAGAGACATTTAGATCTGTAAATTTCCCAGTGAGCACTGCTTTACTTGCAGCCCATCAGTTTTGTGTTTTTATGTTCATTCATCTCTAAGTATTTTCTCATTTCCCTTGAGATTTATTCTTTGACCCACTGGTAGTTTAGGAGTATATTGTTACATTTTCACACATTTACGAATTATCCAAATTTTCTTTCATTGATTTCTACTTTCATTCCATTGTGGATCAAAAATATACCTTGCATGATTTCAAATCGTTTAAATTCCTCAAGGCTTGTTTTATGGCCTAGCATATGATCTATCCTGGAGGTCGTTTCACATATACTTGAGAAGAATGTATTTTTTTGCTGCTGTGGGGTAGAGTATTCTGTAGATGTCAGGTAGGTCTGGTTGTCATATTATCGTTCAAGTCTTCTGTTTCCTTATTGATACTTTCTAGTTTTGTCCTTTATTGAAAGTGGGTTATTAAAATCTTCAACTGCTATTGAGGAAATGTCTGTTTCTGCCTTCAGTTCTGTCTTTGTTTTGTATCATGTATTTTGGGGCTCTGTTTTGGGGTACATATATGTTTGTAATTTTTATATTTTCCTTTCAGATTGACCTTGTATCATTATGAAATATCTCTATCCCTAATATTTTTTGTTTTAAAGTCTTATATTAGTATAGCCCCTCTAGCTCTTTTGGTTTCTATTTTATGGTACTTTTTTCCATTCCTTTGACTTCAACTTTATCTGTGTCTTTGAATCAAAAAATGTGTTGTTGGTTGTTGTTTGCTTAGTCATTTGTTTATTTTCTAGCAACTTGGCCTCCCCACAGTACTTAGTCTCTGATCTCCCTGCTTAGATTTTTTAAATAATGTTTTTCTTTTATTCTGGCTAATGAGGGGTCTTCCCTGGGTTATCACCTACTTATCAGTCAAAGCTTGTGCTTAGCCTCCCTTACCAGTTTGATTTTTATCATTTACTACTAGATATGTGTGGCTTAGAGGCTGCTGTCACAGTTTAGAGTATTTATGTTTTTTTTTTGGTCCCACGTTCGTCAGGATACTAATAGCTTGAAGGTTCACTCCTGATTACTCCAAAGAGGGTATAGCGTTGGGTATGCACACAGTCTTCCAAACTGCAAGGAATGACTGGATGTTATTTTTAAGTTTTAGCTTCCCAGGAGTCAACCCTGAGCTCAAGTTATTCAGTGCCAGTGAGGATTTACCTTGTTTTCATAAGTCTCTGTGACTTTGCGAATGCTTTCACGTCTGTCCATCCTACATCTTACTCTAATTGTTCCTTACTGGGTGCAGCCTAGTGCATGTGCACAGGGTTTTTGACCTCCAAAATTGACTGTGATCCTCAAAGGGTCCTTCTTGGATGTCTCGTTTCTGATTATTAAAGTTCTGGCTGTTTTGCTTGTGTCATAGGGCTACCAGCTTCTCTTAATTGTTTTCCTCCAAACTCTGTTGCAAATGTCAGCCATTTCTGGCAGAACTGCTAGAGTTCTTTGTCCTTGTAAGGCTTTGTCTTTATAGCCTTATAATTACCCTGGGCAAAACCTGTCTCTCACTACACCTGACCTGGGGTCATGGACCAGCTTTTCCAGGAATGACAGTCACAATACAAATCAGCACTTGGGAAGAGTTGGCAGTCCCTGGTCTTCTCAGCTCACTCTTCCTGGCAGAATCTCTACCCTATGAGCAAGCCAGAATGGGGAAGATTGAGACCCTCAACATTTTGCTCCTGGAGCTTCTGCCCTAAGAGAGGGAGGGAGAGGAGACCTGGTTCCTTCAGCCACAGCTATCTAAAATAGATCTGTAACATGGGGCTGGAGAAGGATGAGAAATGCCTCTAGTAACCTCTCTTCCATGGTGAAACCATAGCCCCAGACTGGAAGCTGGAGGGAGAGGGAACCTCTGTCTGCTAGGCCTGAGTAGAATGCCCAGGGCAAAACTTCTGCAGCATCGAGCTGAGGAAGTAGGGCAAGGAAACAAGTTGTAATTCATATATCAAAAGCTCTGTGTTGTTACTGAGATTTAGTATGTTTTCTGGAATGAATATTTCCCTGTTTGCTCTGTGACTTTAGGACAATATACAGGGACTTTACGTGATGTTTTAAATTTTTTCACAGATAAGCTGTGTTTTGCTTGGGAGAAAGGCTATATAGATCCTTACTCTGCAGGTTTGGAAGTCTCCCCAACCCCAAATCATATTTTACTGCTTACACTATAATATACTAATGATACATCTGGCACACTGAAAGTTTGCCTAGTGCTTATCACCTAAAGTAAAATATCCCATTATTCAAAGCAGCTAAAACATGTTTCTTGCTGATATTGAACCCCACCATCATGATTTGGTAACTTACTCCAGATGTGTGGGAAAATCTGATTGTTGTACTAAATTTTTTAAAGAACTTTAATTCTTGTTTACTTGTTGTTGTTGCAGTTTTTGTTTGTTTTTTTTTAATTCCTACATGGTATGGTAGTGAAAACTTTACTAACAGTCTTAAAGTTTTTCAACCCAAGCTTTGTTAAATCAATCTTGAGTAAATGTAGCATGACTTAGCCTGGAAAGCCAAGTTTCAAAATCAAACTTCAAACAAGAAATTTGCTTTCATGAGTACTTTTAAATTTAGAGATAACTCAAAATAAAATGTCTAAGAACTTAGATATTGTATGCAAACTGCATGACTATGCTTTCATCAACTATGGATCACATATACAACAGTAGTGCCATAAGATTTTACCATATTTTTGCTGTGCCCTTTCTGTTTAGGTATATGTAGATACACAAATACTTCACAGTATGTTACAATTGCCTACAAATGGTGTGATCTTTTTTTTAATAGCTGAGAGTATTTCTACGGTAACATGTTGTACAGATTTGTAGCTTAGCAACAATAGGCTATACCTGATAGCCAAGGTGTGTAGTAGGCTGTACCATCTCGGTTTGTGTGAGTATACTCTATGACGTTCACACAATAACAGAATGGCCTAAAGACACATTTCTCAGAATGTATCCCTGTTGTTAAAGCAACATATAACTATGTATGTTTCTTCTTTTATATTGCAAGTACTTTGAAGGATCCCTTCTAAAATGAAGGGATTGCATTTTAGAACTAAGTAAGAGTATACTCATCTCTGTACTCTTAATTAGTTCCAAAATGCAGCCTCTTCAACCATGGGATTCGACTATATTGCACAACAGACAACTCTTAAGATGCTTTATGTCTTCATACCTATGTGTCCTTCCTGTTGCTCTTTCTCTTCATTTGTCAAATCTTTCTTACCTTCTTATAACTTAATATTATCTTCTCCTTTAAGTTTGTTTCTACAGTCAGAAGTGATCATGCCTGTCTTTTATTCCAATTCCAATTTTGTAGTAACTTTTTACTTACATTGCATTTATGTCTCCTTCGATAGACTGTAAGATCTAATTCTTTTTCATCATTTTATTTCTATATACTTTGTACATAGAACTTAATTGTTGGATGAATAAGTAGATAAAATAGTGATTAAATTAATGGTGTGATCTTTTTTTTAATAGCCGAGAGACACACAAGATTGCAGTATTTTATGTTGCTGAAGGACAAGAAGACAAACACTCCATTCTCACCAATACAGGAGGAAGTCAAGCATATGAAGATTTTGTAGCTGGTCTTGGTTGGGAGGTATTATTTTTAAATTATGAAATATTTTACTTCTATTTGAAAGCATAAGGTTATTTTTCTTTTTTTTTTCCTAGCTTATTTTAGAAGTATTATTTTGGAGATACAACTTAACAACTAGTTTATTATTGTTTCTGCCTTATATTTTGTCTGCACATACAGCAGTGGCTGGGACTTTGAAAGGTGTTGACTATTTTATGAGACAGTATTTTGTGAAAGAGTACTAAACTCATAGGTTTGTAAGATCTGGATTTTCCTTACAGCTGTGACTTCATTAGGTCCTAGGTCTTCAAACTAGGACCTAATGGCTACACAAAGGCTTTCCAGGAATATGTGAGTGTACTTAGTTTTGAGTTTCCAAATCCACAACTTTACTAAAACTAATGCTAGAAAACCCTTCTACAGTTCTCCTGTTTCTCATTTTCTGTCCTTTACTTTTTAAAAGAAAGGCATACTATTACCCACCCCAAGTCCTACATTGTCCCAGAGGGCTTTAGCTCCAACAAAATAGACAGTTCTAGTGGACATACTTTTAGGAAAAAGTCCCTGCCAGCAAAGCAAAAAATATTGAAAGTTGTTATACTTTATGTCATCCTACAAACCAACTGATGTCAAGGTTCCTGTACCAAATCTGTCTATCTTAGAATTATAAATCAGAAGGTAGATATTTGTCATGAGGATTTGTGTAAATATGTTTATTTGAATTGAAAAATGAAATAATAGACTTGTTCAAACAGAAAGCAAATCTGATGTGGCTGATTGGCTTATGATCGAGTTAATACCAAATATTTTACATATATTGAAGCAGCCAAACCTGTAGCTCCAAGATTTTGATGAAAATATATTTAAAGCACATATATTTATTATATAGTACACTGAAAATTGTATCCTTGGCTACCGTTTAAACTTCTGATGAAAATGTTTTTATTGTTTTCCGTTTAATATATATAGTTTCCCAAAATTGCTATAGAGAGTATATAAGCAAAATTATTGAAGACCACTGCATTAGACTGTAAGCTTCTAGAGGGCAGGCACTTTCATCTCGGTGATTTTTTTTTTTTAATTCCCAGTGCCTTTCACAGTGTATGATATGTGTAAGCCTTTAGTGTTTTGTATATGTTTTTATGGCTAATCTAATCTATTTTTTAATGATTTTTTTCTTTGGAATACATAGTTTATGTATAAATGTGTAGTTTAATTTCAAAGTATGTGAGTTTTTTTCTAGATACCATTGTTGATACTTAATTCTATCTCATTGTGATCACAGAATATACTTTGTAAGATTTCAGTAGTTTGAAATACAGCATATCCCAGTGTAGGTAGCCTATTCCCTTAAACTTGCGTATTCTGTAGTTATTGAGTGTAATGAACTAGGTATGTCATTTAATGGTCAAGGTTGTTGTTGGTAGTATTTACATCAGCATGTTTTTGCTTTATTTCTTTAAAAAATTTATTGCTACATAATAATCATACATTTTATGTGGAACATAATTTTGGTAAGTGCATACAATTGTGTGTTGATCAGTTCAGGGTATTTAGGATACCTATCACTTCAAACATTTATCATTTGTTTGTGTTGAGAAAATTTCAGATCTCCTCTTCTACCTATTTTGAAATAAACAATACATCGTTGTTAACTATAGTCATGCTACTGTACTATTGAACAATAGGACTTATTCCTTCTATCTCACCATATGTTTTGTATTCATTAGCCAACCTCTTTTCATCTGCACCCCCCCAGCTACCACCTTTACCAGCCTCTGGTAACCGTCATTCTACTTTTTACCTCCAAGAGATCAACTTTTTTAATTCCCACATACGAGTGAGAACATGTAATGTCTTTCTGTGTCTGGTTCATTTGTCGTAACATAATGACCCCCAATTCCATCTATACTGCTGCAAATGATAAGATTCCATTAGTTTTTGTGGCTGAATAGTATTGCATTGTGTATACATACCGTATTTTCTATATTCATTCATCTGTTGATGAATATTTAGGTTGTTTTCATATCCTGGTTGTTGTGAATAAAGCTGCATTAAATATGGTAGTGCAGGTATCCCTTTGATATACTGATTTCCTTTCCTTTGAATAAATACCCAGTAGTGGGATTAATGGATTATATTAACCTGCTCTTTTACCTTAAGTGAGTTAGTTACTTAAGCTCTGTGTGCCTCTTTGCTTTTTTTCAAAGTTAATATACTTTTTTACCAAACAGAGATGATGTGAAGTTCAACTGAGTTTATGTATGTGAAAATGCTTTGAAAAGTATAAAAAACATCCTAAGTAGGTTTTCTGTTAAAAAGTAAAATACCATAAAAGTATTAATAAAAGTAAGGGAGACTTGAAAAAGAAAAGTTGGGAAGATTCATACTTCTTAATTTCAAAACTTACTACAGAGCAATGCTAGTCAAGGTAGTGTGGATAGATCCTGGGGCAGAACTTAGGGGAAAAGAAAAGATAGTGTGGGACTGCTGGCAAAAGGATAGACATATAGATCAATGGAATAGAATTGAGAGTCCAGAAATAAATCCCACATCTGTGGTCAACCATTTTTGACAAGAGTGCCACAACTATCCAATGGAGAAAGAATAGTCTTTTCAACAAATGGTGCTAAGACAATGAGTCATATGCAAAGAATAATTTTAATATACAAAAATTAACTCCAAATGGGTCACAGACCTAAATGTAAGACCTAAAATTTTAAAACTTTAGAAGAAAATGCCGGAGTAGGTCCTCATGATCTTGGATTTTGCAAAGGATTTTTAGATAAGACACAAAGCATGAGCAACAAAGACAAAACCAGATAATCGTACTTTATCAAAATTAAAATTCTCGTGCTTCAAGGTGAAGTCTGATAAGAGACTAGTATCTAGAATATACAAACAAGTTACACAAATCAGTGATTAGAAGACACCCAATTAAAAAATGGTCAAAGGACCTAAACAGACATCTCTCCAGAAAAGATATATAAATGACTAATAAGCACATGAAAAGATGCTCAACATCCTTTGCCATCAGGGAAATGCAAAGCAAAACCATAGTAGGTGTCACTTCATATCCATTAGGATAACCACAATCAAAAAGTCAGGTAATAACAACTGTAGGCTAGGATGAGGAGCAATCTGAACCCTCATACACTGCTAGTAGGTAGGTAAAATGTGCAACCACTGTGCAACCATTCTTGAAATGATGTATATCCACACTACCTGTGGAAAACATTCTGGCAGTTCATCAAACAGTTAAATATAGACAGTTCTACATTTGACCACATGACCAAACAGTTCTACCCCAAAGTATATACCCAAGAGAAATGAAAGCATATGTCTATGCAAAAGCCTGGACCTGAATGTTTATGGTAGCATGATTTACTGTAGCAAAATGGTAGAAATAACCCAGATGTCCACACTAAACTGTGGTGTATTCAATAAAAGGAAATATTATTCAGTCATGAAAAGGAACAAAGTGATATGTGCTATAGCATGAATGTACCTTGAAAACATTGTGCTAAACAAAAGAAACCAATCATCAAGACCATGTATTAATGGTCCAGTTATATGTAATATTGATGATAGGTATATTTGTAGAGACAGAAAGTAGGTTAATGATTGCTTAGGGCTGGTTAGGGGCATGAGGGAGAAGGGGGGTGACAACTAAAAGGTAATGGGGTTTATTTGGAAAGTGATGAAAATGTTTTATAATTGACTGTAGTGATTATTGCACTTATCTGTGAGTATACTGAAATCCATTAAATTGTACGGAGGGGATTTTCATTTCTGGGAAGATGAAGTATATACACTTTCAATATTTTTCATGCTGAGTACAGTAAGCATAAGACATTACATATAAAACAAGCATAAGATGACTCTGAAAGATGGAGAGAAGACAGAATAACTAGAGAATTTAGGACTGAAAGATGACATAGTGGTACATTTTCTGGGTTTTCTTTTTTGCCTCATGTATCCCAGACTTAGAGCTGAAGAAGGCAACAACCTAGAAATACCAATGGGTGCAGACAAAACGTGCCAACCAAAGCCTGCTCTTTCTAGCCAAAGGACCAGGAAAGGAGAAACCTAAAAAGGCAGAAAAACATTTAGATAATAACTGCTCTACTCCAGCCAAACACCACAGAAAATAACTTGACCCCACCCCTACCCTGAAAGCAAAGGTCAGGTAAGGAGCCTAGACTTCCATCTTCATGAGGCTGTAATGAATCCCAACACCACACTGGGATAATATCAAATAGTGCCAGACAAAGTCAAGTAGAAATCCAAGACTTTCATGTCTACCAGTTAGTAATGAGTCTCCCATTCACACCCAAGTATCAGTGGCGACTACATGGGAAACGTAGAATTCCATGACCACCCAACATTACTGAGGTACCTACTCTCCTCTGGAGTCATTTCAGAGGAGGCCTTGTGGAGACTGAGGACTTTTACCATCACCCAGCAGTAGTGAGGTCACCCTTACCAGTGTGTCAGTGAAATCACATAGGAAGCCAGAACTCCTACCACTACATAGCACTAATGAGGACCTTTCCCGCTTTCCAGGTGTCAACAGAGGTTGGTAGAGAACATGTAATTCTGCCTTCACCTGGCAGAAACAAGTCAGCCCTTTCACCCTATTTTCTGTTATTTTCTCTGATAGAGCAGAGTCTTCAAACAACCAGCTAAAACAGAAATTTTAAATAAGATCTAGAGTCTCATGAAAATGTGTACATTTCAGTAAAAAATTATACGTCATACCCAGAACCAGGAAGATCTGAAACTAAATTTTAAAAAACCAGCAGATGCTCACACCAAGATGACAAATATTTAAAGCCACCTTGATAGAAATGCATCAGTAGGCAATTGGTAACACAATTCAAACGAATGAAAAAGTCTCAGCAAAGAAATAGAAAATGTGAAGAACAAACAAATGAAAGTTTTAGAGTGAAAAATGTCATAACTGAAATAAAAAGACTCTGTAGTTGCACCCAACAACTTAGGGGAGTGGGAATGGGGGTACAGAAGAATGAATCCATAAACTGGAAGATAAAACTGTAGAAACAGCCTAAACAGCAGAGAAAATAAAGTTAGGCTGGGCATGGTGGCTCACACCTGTAACCCTAGCACTTTGCAAGGCTGAGGCAGGAGATTGCTTGAGCCAGGAGTTTTGAGACCAGCCTGGGCAACATAGTGAGATCCCATCTCTACAAAAAATACAAAAATTAGCTGGAGACTTCACTCCTCAACAATTAAGAGAAAAATGAGACAAAATGAACAAGTAGATGGAGGAATTCAACAGCAGCACCTACCAACAAGACCTACATATGTTAAATACTCCACCCAACAATGGCAGAATATACATTGGCAGAATATACATTATATATATAATGTATATATGTTCTCAGAGAACATATACCATACACCAAGTAGATCATATCCTGGGCCATAGAACAAGCCTCAACAAATTTAAAAACATTGAAATCATAAGAGTATGTCCTTGAACTAAAATGGAATCAAACTTTAAATCGTTAACAAAAAGATAACAGGAAAATTTCCAAACACTTGAAAAGATTACATCCTACAGGATGTAATTCAATTCATATAACATTCTTGAAATGATAGTTATGGAAGTGAAGAACAGATGGGTGAGTGCCAGGGGTTAAGGAGGGGATAGAGTAGGAGGGAAGTGGGTATGGCTCACATAATAGGGTAACATGGGGGATCCTTGCATTGTTGAAAATGCTCTGTCTCTTAACCATGCCAATGTCAGTATCCTGGTCATGATAGAGTTTTGCACTGGGCGACTCCGGGTAACGTGTACATGGGATTTCTTTTTAATTTTTTCATTTCTTCAAGTGACTCTCCAGTTGTTTAAACAATAGAGATCAGCAAGTGTTCAGTGTTTACAGCGAAAAAACACTGAACTTTCTCCTTTACATTATCAGAGAATTGACTTGAAAATAAGTAACTTTCTGAACTAAAAACAAAACAAAAAATCTACCCGGAGATACCATTTGTCATCTATCAGATTTGCAAAGGTCATAAAGTATGATAATATACTCTATTTGACAGGATATGAGGGAAACAGGCATTCTCATACATTGTTGGTGGCATCTGTAGAGTGTGTTTTGAAATTAGAAGTCCACATGCCCTTTGACTTAAAGTTTCACGTTGAATTGTTTGTCCATAGCTCTACTTTCACAAATGGAACATGATGTGAGTTCAGTGTTCTTTGCTGCAGCATTGACTGTAATAGCAAAAGCCTGAAAACAACCTAAATATCCTTCAATTAGGGGACTAGTTAAATTATTGTACATCAGTAAAATGAACTTCTGTGAAGCCATGGAACCAAAAATGAGGAATCTCTTTATTCATTATTTTAAAATAAGGAGTATTTTTCAAGGTATATTAATTACAAAAAGCAAGAAACAGAATGTTTTATATGCATGTACTGTGTGTATATGCACACAAACATGCATGGATGTGTACACACAAGCATAAGAATTTATGCAGATATTTTTCTAAGGATACTTAAATTGCTTTCTGAGAAGGTAACAGTAGTTGCAGGTGAGAGATATGGAAGGAATAATTTTGGTATGCTTGTTTATACTTTAAAATTTCTAATTATGTAAATGTATTACTGAATTAATAAATTTTAAACTGGAAGAGATTAAGGTAATCTTATAGTAATGGCATAAAAATCTAACAATCATGTGTATGTAGCCATTATTAATACCATTATGCCATTCAGTAATGGCATAAAAATCTAACAATCATACATGTATTCAGCCAGTTATACTGATATTTGAGATGTGTTCAGTTCACATGGTGCAGGGACTTTTTTTTATAATTCTCCATTTTACCTGTTATTCACTTTTTTAAATTGTATAGCATATATATAAATGGTTTTCTCTAAGTAGGGAAATACAGGTGATTTTCAATTTTTTTTTCTTCTATGTTTTCCTAATTTTTTACAATGAACACAAATTCTTGGCTTCTGTGCATCACACAGGTTCAGGGAGTATCATCCAGTGCAACAACTCCAATATTAATGTGTATTATATTTATAATCAGAAAATAAAAAAAAATTTTAAATCTTTGTACAGATTACTTTGTTGTTTTTAAATGTAATTAAAGTATAGTTAAGTTCTGCATTTGTAATTTTTGTTGTGGACTGTGATAAGTACTAACAAATCAAGAAGCCAGTTTTACAAGTAAACACAACACACCAGATTAATCATTTTGTCAAACTGATATTACTATTTTAACTTTTCCCCAAACTATTTCCATACTTGATGTTTCTCTTCCTGACCTTGGTGTGCTATGACAGCCTTTATAATTTACCATTAACACCTAGTAGGCTAACAAAAGATGCATAGTGCACAGAAGTTGATATCTTTCCTAGTTAATGCCTACTTTTTTTTTTTTTTTTTGAGACAGAGTCTTGCTCTGTCACCCAGGCTGGAGTGCAATGGTATGATCTCAGCTCATTGCAACCTCCGCCTCCTGGGTTCAAGCAATTCTCCTACCTTAGCCCTCTGTGTAGCTGGGATTACAGGTGCCCATCACTGCGCCTGGCTAATTTTTGTATTTTTTAGTAGAGATGGGGGTTTCGCCATCTTGGCCAGGCTGGTGTCGATCTCCTGACTTCATGATCCACCTGCTTCAGCCTCCCAAAGTGCTGGGATTACAGGCGTGAGCCACTATGCCCGGCCATTAACTCTTACTAAGTAGAGATCCTCAAATCTTAATAAATACCAGTACAGGCCAGGTGCGGTGGCTCACGCCTGTAGTCTCAGCATTTTAGGAGGCCGAGGCGGGCAGATTAACTGAGGTTGGTAGTTAGAGACCAGCCTGACCAACATGGAGAAACCTTGTTTCTACTAAAAACATAAAATTAGTCGTGGCACATGCCTGTCATCCCAGCTACTTGGAAGGCAGAGGTTGCAGTGAGCCAAGGTCACACCATTGCATTCCGGCCTGGGCAACAAGGCAAGACTCTATCTCCAAAAAATTTAAAGAATAAACTGACATTAATTAAGACCATATACTGAAGAACACACACACATATATTTATAACTTAAAAAAAAAAAAAAAAAAAAAAAAAACAGTACAAATCCATTCTAACAATTCTAGATTAAGTTGGTTGATAACATGCAAAAGACTTCATTATTAATTTTTTCTTAAGCAAGAAGTTTGAGTCTTTCTCAATAGTATGTTTTTGTTTAATTAATTTATGTGGTTCTTCATTGCTTCTAGGTAAATCTTACAAACCATTGTGGTTTTATGGGAGGACTACAGAAAAACAAAAGCACTGGATTGACCACTCCATATTTTGCTACCTCTACAGTAGAAGTAATATTTCATGTATCAACAAGAATGCCTTCTGATTCTGATGATTCTTTGACCAAAAAAGTAAGTGCTGAGAAGTGCTTTTAAGTTAAAATGTTCATAATTGAGGCAATTAATACATAAAATACATAAGTAAGAAGTTGAATTGATCAAGCACTGTTTCTGGGTATAGTACACCACTCCACCCAATGCTGTCTTGAAAATGGGGTGGTTGTTCAGCAAACTTATGTTTTTCTTAAGTAACAAGATATGGCTAAAGGTTGTAGTCTTTTTTTAAAATAAATTTTATTGTGCATATTTAGGGTTTACAACATGATGTGGGATACATATAAATAATAAAATGGTTACTATGGTGAATGAAATTAACATATCTATCATCTCACATAGTTACTTTTTTGTGTATGAAAAAAGCAGCTAAAAATCTAATTTAACAAAATCCCAAATACCATACAATTTTTACTGTACATTAATTCTCTAGACTTGTTCATCTTACATATCTGTTACTTTGTATCCTTGATCTCTGTGTCCCCATTTCCTACCCCACTCCACCCCTGGTAACCACTGTCTTATTCTCTATCTCTGTATATTTTCTCCTTTATTTTTTTTAAATTCCACATATAAGTGATATCTTGTAATATTTTTCTTTCTGTGTCTGGCTTATTTCACTTAGGACACATAATGTCCTCCAGGGCCATTCATGTGTAGCAAGTGGCAGAATCTCCTTTTTAACATTGAATAATATTTCGTTGTATGCATATATACCACATTTTATCAATTTGTCCATTGATGGACAGTTTTGGTTATCTTTGTTATTGTGAATAATACCGAAATGAAATAGGAATGCAGATATCCTGAGGAGGTGGTCGTTTCATCTCTTTTGAGTATATACCCAGAAAAAGGATTCCTGGGTCAAATGATAGTTCTACTTTTAATTTCTTTAAGAACCTTATTACTTTTTTTTTTCATAATTGCTGTATCAAGCTACATTCCTACCAACAGTGTATTAGTGTTTCCCTTTCTCCACATCCTTACCAACGTTAGTTGTGTCTTGCCTTTTTGGCAATAGCATTCTAATGAGTATAAAGTGATATCTCATAGTGGTTTTAATTTGAATTTCTGTGATGATTAATGTGATTGCTGAGTACCTTTTCATACACCAGTTCACCATTTTTATGTCTTTGAATAAATGTCTGTTTAGGTCCTTAGCCCAGTTTTTAATCAGGTTATTTGTTTTTCTGCTATTGACTTATAAGACCCTTATAAATTTTAGATATCAATCCCTTAATAGATAGGGTGTTTGCAAATGTGTTTTCCCTCTGTAGGGTGCCTTTTCATTTTATTGACAATTACCTTTGTTCTGCAGAAGCTTTTTAGTTTTATATAGTACCATTTATTTATTTTTGCATTTGTAGCCTGAGCTTGTGGTTTGATGTCCAGAAAAATCATTGCCAAGGCCAATGTCAAGGAGCTTTTCTTCTATGTCCCCTTCTGGGTTTCATCTCTTATGTTTTGGTCTTTTCTCCATGTAAGTTGATTTTTGTGTGTGGTGTAAGATAAGGATCCAGCTTTATTCTTTTCCATGTAGAAATGCCATTTTCCCCAGACCATGTTGAAGAGACTATCCTTTCCCTATTGGTCTTCTTGGTCCCCTTGTCAAAAATTAGTTTGCTGTATATGTTTGGATTTATTTCTGGGTTCTCTGTTATGTTCCACTGGTATATGTTTCTGTTTTTATTCCAGTACCATACCATTTTGATGACTGTAGCTTTGTAATATAATATTTATTTATTTATATATTTATTTTTGAGACAGGGTCTCTCTCACTCTTTCACCCAGGCTGGAATGCAGTGGTGCAATCTCAGTTCACTGTAGCCTTGATCTCTGAGCTCTAGTGATTGTCTCTCAGCTTCCTGAGTAACTGGAACTACAGGCACTTGCCACCATCCTGGCTAGTTTATGTATTTTTGGAAGAGATGGGGTTTTGCCATTTTTCCCAGGTTGGTCTCAAACTTTTGGGCTCAAGCAGTCCTCCCTCTTCAACCTCCAAAAGTGCTGGGACTATAGCTATAAGCCACTGTGCCTAGACTGTAATATAATTTTAAAGCAGGGAATATGATGCCTCTCTGTGTTTTTTTCTGTTTAGCTTTGGCTATGTGAGGGGTTTTTTTGTGGTTCCATATGAATTTTAGAATTGATTTTTCTATTTCTGTGAAAAATGCCATTGGAGTTTTTATGGGGATCCATTAAATTTGTGTATTTCTTTGGATATTATGAACATTTTAACAATATTCCTTCAATCCAAGATATCCTTCCATTTCATTGTGTATTAAATTTCCATCATCAATGTTTCACATTTTTCAGAGTACAAATCTTTTACCACCTTGGTTAATTTATTTCTAAGTATTTTTATGCTGTTGTAAGTAGGATTGTTTTCTTGATTTTTCAGCTAAGTCATAATTTGTATATAGAAATGCTAGCAAATTTTGTACGTTGATTTTTGTATCCTGCACCATTACTGAATTCATTTGTTAGATGTAACATTGTTTTTGTGGACTCTCTGGGGCTTTCTACATAGCAGATCATGTTATCTGCAAATTAAGATAATTTCACTTTTTCTGTTCTGATTCGAATGTCTTACATTTCCTTTTCTTGTCTGATTGCTCCTGCTAGTACTTCCAGTACTGTCTTGAATAGATGCAACAAAAGTGGGCATCTTTGCCTTGTATCAGATATTAACAGAAAGGCTTTCAGTTTTTCCCCATTGGTACAATGTTAATGATGGGTTTTTTATATGTTACCTTTATTGTGTTGAGGAACTTTCTTTCTATACCTAAACTGTCAAGAGTTTTACCCAATAAATGATGTTGGACTTCGTTTAATGCTTTTTCTGTAACAATTGAGATGATCACATAATCACATAGTTTTTAACTTTTATTCTGTTAATGTGATATATCACATTGATTGATTTGTGTATGTTAAATTAGCCTTTCATGCCAGGGATAAATCCCACTTGATCTTGATATATAATCTTTTTGATATGTTGTTGGATTGGTTCAGTTTGCTAATATTTTATTGAGGATTTTTGCATCAGTGTTTATCAGAGAAATTAATCTGTAGTTTTCTTTCCTTCTGGTATCTATGTGTAGCTTAGGGATCAAGGAGATGCTGGCTTTATAAAATGTGTTTGGAAGTATTCCCTCTTACCCTGTTTTTTGGAAGCTTAAATACTGGTAGTAATTCTTTGAATGTTTGGTAGAATTCAGCTGTGAAGCTGTCTAGTCCTGGGCTTTTTGTTGAAGACTTTTAATTAATTCTTCAGTCTCATTGTTATTGTTCTTTTCAAGCTTTCCATTTCTTCCTGATTCAATTTTGGCAGGCGGTTTTCTTCTAGAAATTTATCCATTTCCTATAGGTTACCCAATTTGTTGACATACAGTTGTTCATAATAATCTCTTTTATGATCCTTTTTTTTTCCTTTCCGAAGTGTCTGTTGTAATGTCTCCACTTTCATTTCTGATTGGTTATAGTCTTAACAAAGAATTTACCTTCAAGAAAATAGGGATATATTAGCCTGTTTTCACACTGCTGTAAAGATGCTACCTGAGTCCCAAAGGATTATAAAACATTCAATTATAAAGACATACACAACGTATGTTTATTGCAGCACTGTTTACAGTAGCAAAGACTTGGAACCAACCCAAATGCCCATCATTGATAGACTGGATAAAAAAAATGTGGTGTATATACACCGTGGAATACTATGCAGCCATAAAAAAGCCATGTCCCTGCTGGAAACCATCATTCTCAGCAAACTGACACAAGAACAGAAAACCAAACATCGCATGTTCTCATTCATAAGTGGGTGTTGAACAATGAGAACACATGGACACAAGAAGGGGAACATCACACACCAGGGCCGTTCAAGGGGTCAGGGGGAGGTGCTAAGGGAGGGATAGCAAGGGGTGGGGGAGGTTGGGGAAGAATAACATTAGGAGAAATACCTAATGTAGATGATGGGGGAATGGATGCAGCAAACCACCATGGCACGTGTATACCTATGTAACCTGCACAATCTGCACATGTACCCCAGAACTTAAAGTATAATTAAAAAAAAATAAAGGCTGGGGGCGGTGGCTCATGCCTGTAATCCCAGCACTTGGGGAGGCCAAGGTGGGTGGATCACCTGAGGTCAGGAGTTCGAGACCAACCTGTCCAACATGGTGAAACCCTGTCTCTTAAATAAATAAATAAAATTGAAAGATATTACCTGAGTCTGGGTAATTTATAAACGAAAGAGGTTTAATTGACTCACAGTTCTGCATGGCTGGAGAGGGCTCAGGAAACTTAAAATTGTGGCAGAAAGCAAAGGGGAAGCAGCAAGGCTCGTCTTACATGGCTGCAGGCAAGAGAGCAAACAAAGGGGAAGTGCTGCACTTTAAAACTATCAGCTCTCGTGAGAACTCATTCACAAGAACAGCATAGGGGATACTATCCTTCCTCATAATCCAGTCACCTCCCACCAGGTTCCCTCCCTTGACACATGTAGATTACAGTATGAGATGAGATTTAGTCAGGGACACAGAACCAAACCATATTAAGGAATATAACAAATTAAAAGATTTCTGTGTTTACATTGGTAGAATGATATTTCAAGGCCCTTAGATATTTATGTTGATTGAGGGAGAGGAAAATAAAATAGAAATTATTCCAGGCTAGGCATGGTGGCTTATCCCTGAAATTCCGGCACTTTAGGATGCCAAAACTGGAAGATTGCTTCAGCCCAAGAGTTTGAGACCAGCCTGGGTAACATAGCAAGACCCCCTACCAAAAATTTAAAAATTAGCCAGGCATAGTGGCATGTACCTATAGTCCCAACTACTCAGGAGGCTACTGTGGGAGGATTGCTTGAGCCTGGGATGTCCAGGCTACATTGAGCCATGATCACACCACTATCCTCCAACCTGGGTGACAAAGTGAGACTCTGTCTCAAAAAAACACATACATACATCCAAAGCACTTGAAAGATAACATGCTGTATCACATACATTTGAGCTAAAACTAAT